CTTCTGAGAGCTGCAGCTGAATTTAATTTTCCACAACTGCATCAAATGCTGCCATGAAAAACGCTGGAATCATTTGACTGGGACAATCAGATACTTGAACTACTGGACACAGCACAAAATGGACAACCTGAAGAGAGTAGCCTTTAACATCAGATCAGTATGGGAGCGCGAGTGCGTCACTATGATGAAATTAGACGAGGAGCTCAGAGAGTTCTTAGCCAGGACCAAACCGCTCATGCCGTAACGCCTGGAGGTGCTCTTCTCAGTGGCAGGCCAAATGCCATCTGTCTGCATTACAAAGCAGCCCCTAATGAGAAGAAAATCGTTACTATGGTTTTACTAGACTCTATCCCTTCATCACCTAAATGACATCCCCTGGGGCACCTCCATGTTATGCTTGAGAATTTCAGCACCCTGATGGCCTATTTTGGGTTGAGCAATGTAAAAGTGCAGCCACCTTGAGGGCTCTTTTTTCCTGGTATGCCCAGTGGTGGGAACGGCAAGCTACTGTTTCCCTTGTACCATATATGAGCAGAAACTTACCAGGCACAAGTGACAAAAGAGCCAGGTATGTTGAAAGACAGAAGCAGAAAGATGGCATTGCTTTATGGGCTGAGCATTTTAAGAAAAAAAAAAATCAAACCCTGAATTACCAGACTTTCCAAATTCTCTGTGGGGTAAGTTTGGGCAGAAACCCAATCCTTCCAACACCACCATCATGAAAGACCCAGAGGAACTGTACTGCTCCTTCTTTTCTCCAGCTTAGGCTGTGTGATGTTGTTGATGCAGACACAGCCATTGCCTTGCGGCAGCACACCAGATGCTGCATAACCCTTGGAGTGCCACACTAACATTGTGTGTGTAGCATTGTGTGTAACTACAGTCTGCTCTAATGCAGCACAAGCAGCTTAACAATTTCTCAGATGAACTACAAGACCATTGCTTTTATCACAACACAGATGAGGCTCATAAGTCATTCGAGGCTGCAGGACCCCCTTTCCTCCTGCTTGGTGACTACTTACATGAGCTGACAGGTGAGGTGCTGCCACACAGGAACATCACCAAGTTTGTGGCATCAGGACCCAAATCCTACAGATACCTGCTGTCTGGAGGGAAGCATTGTTTAAAAGCTAAAGGCATCACTCTAAATGTAACCAACAAAGAAGAGATCAGTTTTGAAGCCTTGAAGGACATCATTTTGTTAAGCTATGGTGTAAAATCTGATGGCGACACTCTTAGATCATGATAGAGCAGCAGTAAATCATCAGGAATAAGAAGCAGCTGATAGAAACCAGGACCTTCCAGAAGATGCAGACGGTGGCTCTATGACAAAAGGGTACTGATTAAAAACATTAACAGTTTTCCCTGTGGTTGTTGATCATAGGCATGCACAGGAAGCATCCCTTTTCTGCTACTGTGGCAGGGCCTAGCAACTGTGGGAAATGTTCTTTTTATAAAAGGTGTTTTGGAAAACACGGACTGCCTGCTTTCTGCTAGCCTGGGAATATCCTGGCATGTTACAGTTGTTTGCATCTGCTGCATTTTCAGCTGCCCCCTAAATATACTTTTATCAAATCTGTGCAGGAACTTACCTGAAAGTCTTAGTGATAACCACTTTCTTCTCTCTAATAATCATAGACAAGAGCCAGTCAAGCCTCAGCTAAGTGCCTTCCCTGATTGCGAAGGACCTGGATAATGACATGCAAGCACTTTTGCTGGTGTCTGCTCACATCTGGATGGGGAAAACTGATGTTGGAGCTAACAAGTCCTACAAATTCCTGTGGACACTGCATTTCCTAGCATCTCTCTTAGTACTAAGAGTATCTCTCTTAGTTAGCCAGGCTCTTTTCCACATGTCAGGATGACTCTGCTGTTGTTACACTTGGCAGCTGCCAGCAAACTAGCTACAGACCAGCGTTGCTCTGCCTGCCCAACACTCAAATAGTCACACTGGAAAGAAACCAACCAGCCCTGTACCAGGCCAGCACACACAGAGAGGCAGCTGTAGCTGACTAGCCATAAGAGCAAAGAAATCACGGAAAGAGATCAAGAAAAGGCAGTAAGGCAGCAGACTCCACAGGGAAGAGTGTCTGAAGCCCTGGGGCTGCTGGACAGCCATTGGGTTTCTTGATGCTCCAGGACAAAATAGTGAGCAAGGCTCAGCGTAGTACTGAGAGCAGCTCCACGCACTTCCACTCTACCAAACCATGCTAATAACCCTCCCTTTGCCCCCTTGCTTGCCTGACACGCTGCCTGGAAAGCAGGACAGTCACACTTCAGCAGGGCTGGACGTGAGCCCATATCATGGCACAGGCAAGCTGCTGCCTGTATATCCGAGCTGGCTCTCCCACACATCTTCCCCAGCATAACTCCAGCTGCCTAAAGCAAGCAGAGACTCACAAAACACACAGCTTCACACTAGCTCTTGCACATGGATGTGTATTTTAATAAAAATAATTTTGTCAATATACAGCAGAATGTTGATTTCTTTACCATATTTCCAGTAAACTTTAATATACTCAGTTCTCAGTTAAAATCCCCCCCTGTTTTGAAGTTTTCATGCGAAGCATTGGATAACTTAATTCACAAATACTAAGCTTAAACTGAACCAATGTGCACAATATGTGAAATGCCCATTTAGTCGATGTTGCACCCTCAGAAAAAGAAAAACCCTCCTTGAAAAGTGATGAAAAGTCTGGAGCAGCAGAGGGAAAACTGCTCTGTCACAGCTGAACTGTGGCCATTGTTCAGGGCTGACAGGAAACCTGCAAAGACCTCACACCCCATGCTCCAGCTGAGCGTTTCATACCTGAGTTTTGAGCAACCAGCAGACGAGAGTTAACTGCATTGCAGGCAGGTCCTTGGGTTTGCACTGCTGAATGGATTATGTGCAAGAACTTCAAGTGCCAGCAGTCACCTCCCCTGTCTGGAGAACCATGAAAAGCATGTACAGATAGGACTGAGGGAAAAATCCCAATCAAATGCCTGAGCAGAGTCCTTAGTCTGAAAGAGTTGCAACATTCCTATTTTTAAAAAATCTCTTAAAAATCATTATCCCCAGAGCCGCTGCTGCTTCTCCTTCTCAGAAACAGTCTGTGAGAAGCCCAGTCCACAAAAGCCCCTTTGTCTCTTCCTGGTTGCAGCTAAAGCCCTCCTAGGGCAAGGGATCTGTATTTCAGAACACGTGCCCAGACACATGGAGTGACCAGAGAAGAGGTGTCTCCCAGTCAGAGGAAGCTCAAAAGAAGCAGAGGTTTGCATGGCCATGCCAGGAATGTTTCTGCAGTGATGGAAGTGTAAATCCCACACAGAACTCTGCTTGCTGTTAGCAGGAGGCAGTTATATCCACCTCTTGGAAAGAAAAGCAGGCAGGAAGCTAAGGTGCATGTGTGTGTTCCTCAACCCTGGAGGTACTCTCGGCTTGCTGGGCTCTACTGCAGCTCAAGGTGGCAGGCTCTAAGCTCTGTATGGGATGCAGGGATACAGATGCACCATGCCATGCTTACTCATCTATCATCCTCCATCTCTTGTTGCACAGCAGGATAGTGGAGAACAGCTAGTGCTTCCTGTGGAAGAGGCCTGAAGGCTCTCATCTGCTCCCTTTTCTTCCCTAAGTGTTTTTTAAAAAATGCCCCAACACTTCCTCCAGCATTTTGTCCTTCCACAGCAGACAGGACATTGCTCACACACAGCTTTGGCTCAGAGTAAGAGCTGCTGGAATGCATTTTCTCTCTGCCACTCATTCTTCTGCGGGCGCAGTAGGGTCCCAGCAGCACACAGCACATGTCCTCCTACTATCCCTCAGCAGAAACATCTAGGAATAGAAGCTTACAGCTGGAGTCCCACCACCACCTTCCTGTAGGTGACCTGCTCCCATCAGAATCCACTACTCAGGTTGTTCTAACATAGACAGGCTGCAGAGTTTTAAGAAAGATGCCACTGCTGTGAAGGGGACACCAGGGCAGACCAGAACCACCTTTTCTAGAATGTGTTCATTACCTTTCCCCATGTAGGAACCCAACAATGCTGGGCAGTCTTTCCAGGCATCCTGCATAAACATGACTGTACTGGAAAATAAAGGTGTGACCAGCTCCACATGTCCTCCCTGCACTCAGGATTGAAGCATGATGGACCTCTCTGCCTCCTAACATGCATGTTGCTGCAGTTGAAAGAACTTCCTGAGGCTGTTTCGTGCGCTGTGTAACTTCATGGCATTTATGCACTGCTATATACCCTGGGTATCATGGTTAGCTTTCTCAATCAACTGCATGATGGCAGAGGGAACTCTGAAACATACATTTAGACAACATGTGTTACATGAGTACTAAAAAAAAACAGCTAACAAAGCACAGTAGCACCACAGCAATCCAACAAGGTTTGCTCTGCTGTGCAAAGAGATGGTTCATTATGTCTGAAGCCTAAGGAGGAAAATGATAAATTTACTCCCCAGAGCTAACTAAACCAGCTCTAGCTGTTCCTATTGTTCAAGTGAGTCTCAAGAACAAAGCTATTTAAAGAAAGGTAATGCTGCCGTAACAAGACTAAGTGATAAATAGCGACACAACTTGAGGACAGGTGAAGATGCAGCTGTAAAGAATCAGAAGAAACTGGAATAAGCAGGTAGATGTCCCTCCAGAGGTCCCTTCCAACCTCAACTGTTCTGTGATTCTGTGATTCTGTGAGGAGTCAACAGTTCACAAACTGAAGGGAATCCAGCAGAGGCCACTAAGCTGATCAGGGACTGGCGTGCAAGATGTATGAGGAGAGGCAGAGAGAATATGGCTTGTTCAGCCCAGAGAAGAGAAGGTGAAGGCAGGGATCTAACTGCATATTCCACTTACCTAAAAGCAGTGGGATGGTTAATGCAGAAGATGAGGCCAGACTGTTCTCAGAAGTGCCACTGAAAGGACAAGAGGCAATGGGTACAGTTTGCAACCAGGGAACCTCTGACTGGATATGAGGAAAAAATTGTTCTCTATGACAGTGGTGTAGCACTGGGACAGAGCTCAGAGAGGTGGTGACATCTCCATCTTCGGAGATTTTCCAGACTCAACTGGACAAGCCCTGAACAACCCAATCTAGCTTTGAAGCTAGGACCCTGCTCGGAGAAGAGGGTTGGATTAGAAACCTCCAGAGGTCCCTTCCAATTAAATCTTTTTAGATTTAGTGAAGTACCATCCTTGGGGGACTTTCACAGAAGCTAGCAGGTCCCTATGGAGAAGGACAACGGTTGCTTCTATTGCAGGATAAACACAGTTGCTGACCAGCAGCAATGAAAGGAATAGTTAGCTCTTGGGGCTCCAGGATGAAGGTCATGTGCTTCAACACCCTTGTATAACATTTATCAACATCAGCAGCTTGGAGAGAGGGCAGAACCTGGGGAGAAGTTTTCAGACTTTATCCAGACTCTCTCCAGAAAGAGAGGCCCTTCAAATAAAACTGATGCTTTTTCTCACCTGCTCTCACTGCCCCTGAAGGGTAAAATTTGCTCCTGGTAACCTTGAAGGAACAACAGACCAGGTCCTCCTTCCTTTTCGACACTGCCAAAACAGTTACCTCCCACACACTAAGCCTGACAAGAGCTGCCCCACACAGCCTTCTGTCTCACTTATGCTATTTTCCATGGCACAAGGCACCGCACAGAGCACCAGCTCCTCTAGCTGGACACGGAATTGATCTGCACAGGCCCCTTTGCACCTGAAACACATTCAGTGTGGTGGTCAGCAGGGCTGACATGTCACCAAGAGTACTCACTCGTTTTTAAGGGGTTCCAAGTGAAACTCCTTGGCAGACTAAGACAATCAGCTGCAGGTGATAGTTCCCTGCAGTGCTATGCATGCCTGGACATTCAGCGCTTCTTGCCTGCAGATTAGCCAGGAGGCAGCTAGAGTGCAACAGCTGTCAAGGGCCATTCCTTACTCAGTGAAGGCAACAGCAGAAGAAGCAGCACCTTTTCTGCTCTTCAGCTATATACTGCTGAAACACTGCCAGAAATCTGAAGAGCATTCTGGCATGGCATTGCAAGCTCTACATTCTCCCAAGCTGCTTTCACTACATCCCTTCCTACTACTTCCCTGGTCTCCCGTTCAACAGGTACAATCCTCTCACTTTGCTCCACGATCCACACCTGCAGCTTCCTTGCTCTTCCAGCTCTGGGCAACCTCTGCCAATATTGCTCAATGCTTCCCTTTTCTGGGTCCCAGAAACACTTATCCCAGCTATTCCAATACTTCTAACTCCTGAACTGATCCTTCATTCCACTCAAAAGTTCTCCAAAATGTTACTGTTGGTGTGGCTGCTCTCATTCACTGATTGTAGGAACAGTGCAAACCCTTGTCCACAGGGAGGAAAGCCTGGTGATATAATTTAGCTCCACAAAGCTGCCTCTGGAGAACCACTGAAGGACACTTTAACTAAGGCTTCAGGTCTGGAGTTCCCAAAATATCATTCTCAAAGGGCCACTTAACAGTGTATTGGGCTGCAGAACAGAGCTCATGATGTGCTGGGCTACAGGTGACCACCCCTGAAAGCAGGTTTCCACCAGGTCCCTGTAACATCTTATCCTTCTGAAAGGCTATCAATGCTACACAGAGTTTGACGAAAGCAGATGGAGTGGCAGGTGTCCAGAGTACACATCTGGGAGGTTCTTGGCACTCTGTAGATTATAGCTCTGTGGTGATGACTCTGGACTCATCAGATGACAGCTGAGATCCTCTGAATGTGCAGATGACTACGCAGTCATAGCAGAGCTAGAAGAGGTTTAGCTGTTAGAGCTGTAGCAGTTGGCTTGTTCTGGTAAGGACAGCAACAGTTAGAAAGCCTCTTTTGGGACTGCATGGCTAGAAAGGTTTCCTGGACTGTGAATAGTCTGTGGCTGTTTTTTGGAAACCCCTCTTCCAGGATCTGAAACTAGCACAGCAGAACAACTTATGTGTCAACCTCATGTGATGAAAGTCCCATATCCAATGCCACCAGCATTACATGCAGGGTCATGTGTCATGTACATGCTGAGACTCTGTATCTCTCACCAAGAAAAGGGAAGCCAGCAATTTCTCCAAGAACTATACAAACATGCAGGTGGCTTTACCAAAGGGCTCTTAGAGGAAGTGATACTGTGAGGGGCTACTCAGATGAAGGGGAGTCTCAGCCAGGCTGTTCTTAAGGCCTCTCTCATTTATTCATCTGCTTCTGAGCAAAGCATGAGGCACTTGGAATAACAAACTCAAAATCAATTTATAAAAGGAATTTAACTGCATGAAATCTCTTGTTAGGTCATGCTCATATTCAAAATTAAAGATCTTAATTCAGTTTAATTTTGTTAATTTTTAGAAGTGACTGCAACAAATCAAATTAAGTCTCAGCTGACATTGTGGTCAAATACAAAACACAAAAACCATCAAGGAGCAGCAAGGGACACTCAAGGACCACCAGGCTTTGAAAAATAATCTAGGAAGAACCAAGTGAGAAATCTCATATAGGAATCAACAACAGGGTCAAGCCTATGCCTACACACCCACACTCACTATAAGCACATCTTCCCCACACTGACTTATGACCACAGTAAAGAGCAGGAACATTTGTCAGAATCTAAACATAATAATTAGTGAAGCTGCAAGAACACACAAAATCACAGAACAAACAAGGGGCGCAGAACAGAGATGTCACAGCAGAAAAGCCTTGGCACGCCCCAAAAACCAGAATCAGGTCTCCAGGTACAAGAGCCTGTGAGAAGCCCACAGTATTAATGTGTGTTGATTACAGTTGTCAGGTCAGTTAGGAAGCCAGTCAAGTGAGAAAGGAAAAACAAACCAACCTACGCTCTTGCTTTGAGTATAAGAAGTGAAGAGTATCACTGCTGTTTAGTTTAGAGGGATCTGCTGCCACTAAGTGATGCATATTGCTAGTGGCAGAAAGAGTGATGCAGCCCTGCTAAGTGTAATCATTAAGACTGTGGCCTCTCAACACTAACCTCAACACAACATCAACATGGTGTTCCACCACAGCAACAGTGTCCAAGAACACCCAGAGAGACCATCCCTTCACACATTTCTTGGCACGAGAATAACCAGGCATCTAGGAGCATCTTCTGGTTCTTTGTAGCAAAGGGAAACCAAAATGAAAACAATTGCTCTAGGACAGTCAGCACTGCTTTTCTGAGAGACCAAGGGGGCATTGATATATGACAGAGCATAGACTTGCCTTAGGGAAGCACAAATTATCACAAAAAGTAGGAACAAAAAAAAAAAAAAACAAGGAAAGCTTAAAAGAGATAAAGACAGTACTGCTACAAAGATGAAAGAGGTTTGACTACAGGTAGACAGGAGCAAGTTAATGATGACCAACAGCACAGGAAGTAGTCAAATGTAAAAGGCAAAAGTCAGAGACTAGAGTATTTCCAACCTAAGTTCCCATAATGAGCCCATCAGGGTGCTCTAAGTCTTGTGCTATGAAAAAGAGAGCTTGCAGCAAGAACTCCCACCAAGGAAAGTTTACATGCTGCCTCAGTTTCAGCAACAGCACTGGTGACACTATGGGAACTGGTTATACATTAGGCAGCAGTGATAGGTCCAGCAACAGAGGCTCCAGAAAGGATGCCTGTCCATCAAGTTAAAGTGCCTGTGCAGTGGTAGCAAGAAAAAGACTCCAGGTTTGGGTAATATCCGTCACTGGGCCAACTAGCACAGTTGAAAATAAATAGAGGAGCTTTCAGGCACATAAGCTCTTCCCCAGAACTGAACAAAAGCAGCAGATTGCAAGGTTAAATTCTGCTTAGTGTCATACTCTACTTCTGTCTGTGACTAGAAGAAGGGTTTTGGTACTCACAGTTGCACCTTTTTTTTTTTTAACTATACTAGTTGGTTTAATTAAAACATATCCTCCATCTACAAACCTCATGTTCCCTGCCTCCTTAGACTATTCTGGCTCCAGCACTGACTCTACACGCTGTAGACTTTCACCAAAAGGTAGCAGCAGTAGGCATTTCCCACCACCTCCAATGCCATCTGCACATTCACAGCCATAGCCTCCAGCACTGTCACAAACAGTCCAGTTCTGCAGTGCAGGAGACAACTGCCCCCCTACTCTGCCTTTATTTCAAAGGCAGTCTGCAAATACAGAAAATCTTTAAATATCTGGGATACTTCAGAGAGGTATCCTGAAGCCTCCTCACACAGCTACAGCTCTTTGTTCCCACTGCTCATCACACTTATCACACAGAGATACAGGACAAGCCATACAAGCAGTAAAAAGACATCTTAGGTCTGAGCTCCCCTGGATCCTCCTTGCAGCTACAGAGGTAAAATTCCTTTGGTGCAGGAGTAGAATTCCTCATGTGCAGCCACACTCATCCTTAAGTCTCATAATGGAATATGCTGCATGATGCAAAGTATACAGTCTCCATACACAGCCTCACCAGTTATAAGTACACACTCATAAACACTTACAAGCAAATGGTTTGAATACAAAAGGCTTAGCGGCACTTTAATGAGTCTCTGGGCCTGATACATACAACAGCAATGACGCATTAGTCTGTTGCACTTTGAGCTTACCCACCCACACACCCTTGCTGGTCACTTTTGGACCTGAAACTGAAATCACTACCTTAAGAATCCTTACAAAAACAGTGCTGCTCCCTCCTGAATGGATCAGACCTTATGAAGCTAGTACCTATCCTCACCCACAGCCTGACCTTAGCATTTGCAACCCGCAAGGAAGAGCACGGTTCAGACTAGTGTTTTCAAGGGACTTCTATAATTTAGAGGTGCTCAATTAGGTCAATGTTACATGAGGGACCAGCAAACACTACAGAGTCCTAGTGAGAAAGCCCTCCTACATAGAAAAGAAGGGGAATTTGTGGCTTAACACAAAAACTGACCACCCAGTCTGGCAGCACTCATGAATGTTTCTTACAGGCTAACATGACCTGCTCCTACCAGTACAGTGGTAAATGATTTCCAGTTAGTCAGGCCTGTCCTGCAGCTGCTGTGAGAGCTGGATCTACCTCCTTCTCAGGGCATGAGATGCTTTTACAGTGTAGCCATTAACAAGGACTACATAGGCAACGTCAAGACTTCTCTTCTTCCCACTGACAAATACAAGTCTTGAGAGCCTTGTGCTCTTAGTGAGGCATGTACCCTGAAAGATCAAGCTCCTCCAATTCCCATCATTAGCACAAGACAGGACACAACTCACCAGTCTCCTGGGGTGATGTAAGATGCGTGTGGCTGGAACCGGGGCTGTGGGCAATAAATACATCAATGACCTTGTGGAGGTGGAAGAGACCTTTTTAATAAACAGGATTCAAAAAAAAAAATCCCTCTGATCTGCCACTGCAAGAAGAGTTCAGGTAACTAGTACAGAAGATGATGCTGCATGTGCACAGACGGAGGGAGGAGGGAAGAAAAGAACAAGCTGTCACCAACTTGATGAGCTTCCTCAGTAAATCAGCAGAAACCAGGTCAGCAAAACTCTCCAGATAAAATACTGGTGGATCCATCATAAACAATTCAAATCAAAATAAAGAGAAATCCTTACATTGGAAGGCGCTATATTAGAATAACTAGTGAAATACTGAGTGCTGCTGGAGCCACAGCAATGGCAGGGAGACAGATAAAATCTGCCAGTCACTCCTGGGGTCAGGAATGGCCATGTAGTGAGGAAATAACAATCCTTTCACAGGCAATGTGTGTGTATGTGCATGTGGGTGTGCTGGAGGGGGTGCTGGTGGCAGGGAGGTCAGGCTATAGACGAGGTGGTGTAGTGGCAGCAACGGAGGGTGAAGGGCAGCACTCAAGGATGTCAGTTCCATCTTGCTCTGGTGGCTAGTGCAAATAGTCTTCTACTCTGGCAAAGGAGCAGGAGCCCAAGCCCACACGAGCCATGAGCCGCAAGCACTCCGAGGCCTGGCCCAGGGCAAGCATCAGCGGGGGCTGCTTTGGCAGGTTCTGAGATTCTGTGGGGGCAAAAAAAGAGATCTGTTTAGAAGAGGCGCCTTGGCTGCATGGCTGCTCATCAGCATACGGGTCCCTCTATGTCCCACATGGGCACCAAGCAGAGCATCCCTGGCAGGATGCACTGGCTCTAGAAGGAAGTTTTTCCTGAGTAAGGTTGTCTTGGCATTGCTGCTCCTCCACAAACCCCACACAGGGTTGCCCACTCAGGATATGTCCCACCTGGGGCCACAGCTCAACAGGGCCTTTGGAAAGAGTTGCTGTGGGGGCCAGAACAACACAAAAGGCAATGCAGCTCCTGCTGCCTCAGTGTCTACCAGAAAACCCTCAAAGTCAGAGAGAGCAGAGCATGCAGGAGGAAGGAAAGACAGAAGAAATTGGCCCCAAATACTGAGGGAAAGGTTGCCTCTCCCTCTCCCACTTGTGCAGGTCTAGGCTGTAGTCCAAGACCCAGAAAACTCACTGGTTACAGTTTCTTTTCAACTTCATGTTTGCTACATATAGAGGCAGAATCTGCAGCTGAGCTAGTCAAGGCACCTGTCCTGTGACCTTGTGTGACAAAACACATCCACACACCATGTCCAGCCACCAGCCACCCTGCAGGACACCTGGCGACGCCGACTGTCAGGGAAAGGGACACTCCTCCCCAAATCATATTATTTCTGCTCCTTTACTCATGCAGAGCATGAGTCTTCACAGGTTTGCTCATCAAACTGTTCCTACCCCCAGAGGATAATCTCTAATTCTCCTTCTTGCACACTCAAAATGAGGTGCCTAAGCCCACCAGGAAAGATGTTTGGGCACAGCAAGGTGGATCCTGCTCAGGATTCAAATATGGGTTTCTGAGACAGAGAAGTTGTCCAGTGGATAGTGTTTGGCCAGGCATGGATGGATTGAGCTAAACAGAGCTGGGGAATGTCCTTTGAAGTTATCTGAGCAGTGACACAACATGAGCAGGGTCCAGTGACAGGATCCAGGAGCCTGGCTAGAAAGAAACAATCCCTTTCTTGCAGCCTGGTGGCAGGTCATAATCTTATTATTAATACACTCATTTTTCCACCATGGGATTTTCTATAGCTGAAGATGGCAGGAGGGCAACAATGATATAACAGCTCATTGACTGCAAGAACAAGACTTCCAATGGGGAAAGCTACTGTTTTTAGTATACGAGGCTTAATGTAGGAGAGTAATGACAAAAGCTGTTTGGTCAAGCAACATGCTTGTCTAAGGAAAATGGAAGAGCAGGCATAAACAGCCAACTCTGACAATAAAGAGGAGAGCAAGAGACTGCTCAAACCTAGATCCAACCATGGTCTATCTAGCTGACACAAAGAACAAAGCTCATCAGAAAAAGAGGAGCTGACTCACTAGCTGAAGAAAACCACACTATACACAGTGTAGATTTCCACACAGAGCAGGGTCTTCTCAGCACAGTTAAGAACAGAAGGGAAAG